AAACATAAAGATTCTGCAAGAAGATTTGTACAAGCGCATATTCCGACTAATTATCATAAGGAGAAGAATATGATTAACATCATTCATCCTGATAAATTGTACTGAAGCAACTTAAGATGATTGTCGAAGAAATTTTACACGAAAAATAAACTCAGAAATGCATCGTACTAAAATCTTGAGAGATATCATTTGCATCAAGCACAGCTGATGTGCATGTTGTTGTATTCATATCACCGCAGTTATCCATGATATCGCTTAAATTTCTGAATAACTGGCACGTTCTAGAGCCAGCCGACATGGTTTTGCGGAAACTCGGATGTGCTTGAGCTTCGATAGTAGCGTCAGCAGTTTCTAGGAGTTCATGTGCTACATCGAGTTCACCACGAAAATCTTTGGCCAGCTTGAGTAACTTGAGATTGTTCAATTTCCATCTGAGACATTGTTGTTGCAGTTGATGGTTGATGGTGATCGCACGACAACTCCGCAATCGCTCCGAATGACACGCATTCTCTAGCCGTTTTATCTTAAAGACGATAGTCCGTAGGAATGTTTTCATGAGTTATTTAGCTATCGTCATCTAGATTGATACTTTGCGCATATTTCAAAATTCTATTCAAACAGTTCCGACACAAATTTGAAATGTGTCAAAAATTTTCCGTAATATGTCAAAATTTCTCGTAATATGCTAATTTTCCGTATTCTCTGAAGTATTGAACTATGTCAAAATTGATCATTCAACTCCACGAAAATGGCGACGCATGGCGTTCACTTATTATTTTCAATGAACATCTCTTCTTTTATGAATGCTCTTATCACGCTTAATAGTCCGTTCACGAATATCACTTAATGAAATGTCACTCCTAGAACACAATCAACATATTGATGAGGAAATTAATAGATTTCACAGCATGGTGATTTGATTTGAATAAGTTTCGTGCGAACTACAAGACTCTCTTACGTGTGCTTTAAGTCGGCCGTTTTGCTTGAGAAGATCATTGAGTTGTTGTTGGCATTTGCACATTTTCATATTTGTTGCGTTCGCATTTTTCTCCATATATTTCAACAATTTTTCTGCATTCAATCTGCAAATAGCAGCTGATTGATTCAATGTTGAATGGCAATTAACAATAAAATATTTCCAATCACTGACGCAATCACTGAAGTGATACGGAACCTAAACCTGTACTTTGTAGAGGTATTTCAATTACAACGAATAAACGAAAGCATCAATAAATGCAGCTTAGTGCAATGCTCGCAATCAGCAGTGAATTAGTTGTTTGAGTGAATGGCCTATATGTAAAATTTCTGCTAAATTGTGAAATTCCTCGTTGAAAAAATAGCAACTGAAATTCATTAAACTGATGCGACCAACTATCAATGGATTTGGTTTGGCAAGGACAATTTACGTTTGGAACTTAAATCNGATACCTTTTTTGACGTTCCGTTTGTAGTTGTTTGCTGAGCTCAGCGATTTGCTCGTTCAATTCATTGCAACAACATGAGCTACTATTGCTTCCCCTGTTGCGCGTTGGACGTACCCTGGATCGTCGATCGGCCCTATATTTCATCAATTCCTCACCTGTCTTCAGGACAAGTTCTAGAGTGCCGCAGATCTGAAACACACTCAATAACGATGAATTCTAAAGTTCTGAAGCTCTAAA